GAAAAAAAAAAAAAAAAAAAAAGCTATGAACCTGTAATCACAAGAGTTTAACTTTTCTTTCACTTTTTAGGTCCTGGTGGTGGTGAGCCTGGCTACATGCCTCTTGGGGGCTAAACTACCATATTCAGCCTCATCTGAGGAAGACAGGACCACTCAGGTAGGTCTTTCTGTTGATCGGTTTGGCACACAAAATAGTCATAGTTACAACAGGTCAGGAATGGTACCCTTCATGAAACTATGGTCTATTAATACATAAATAATGCAAGAATCTACCTTACCCTAAGAGATAATGCTGACTGTTGTTTCCTTCTCTTCAACTTTAGGTCTTGAGTCGTACTGTCTCCGTGAAGACCCCTGAGAGGAAATCCAGTGTTATCTCGCACTTCCTACCTGCCGATCACAGATATGAAGCTACGGGATCTGTCAACATTAACAAAAGCCCTTCATCGCCTAGAGCTCCCATCCCTGCCGCTGTTAGTGCACCAGCTGCCCAAGTTCCAGCCGCTCCAGCACGCAAAAGCCCAGCATCCATTGCACGCACTGTGAGTGTAAAAACTCCTGAGAGAAAATCAAGTGTCATCTCTCACTTCACTCCTGCTGACCACCGTTACGAAGCCACTGGAAGCGTAGTGATTAACACAGGCTCTTCTGCCCCAGCGAGATCACTACCTGCACCAGTGTCTGTGCCAGCTGCACCACGTGTTGTTGCTTCTCCTCCACCAGCCCCTGCCGCACCTTCTCCCTCGCCAGCTGCTAAGCTATCTTTATCCCGTACTGTTTCTGTCAAGACTCCTGAGAGAAAATCAAGTGTCATCTCTCACTTCACACCTGCTGACCACCGTTATGAAGCCACTGGATCTGTTGTCATCAATCAGTCTTCTGGATCATCAAGAAAGACTTCCTCTGCTGCTCGTGTCCAGAAGGTAGCAGCACCTGCTCCTGCTCCAGCTCCAGTTCGGCCTGCTCCCGCTCCTGCCCCTGCACGTGCTGCTCCTGCTACAAGTTCAGGCTCAAAGCTTGCTCTTAGCCGCACTGTGTCTGTCAAGACTCCTGAGAGAAAATCAAGTGTCATCTCTCACTTCACACCTGCTGATCACCGTTATGAAGCCACTGGATCTGTTGTCATCAATCAGTCATCTGGATCATCACAAGCTGCTCGTGTCCAGAAGGTAGCAGCACCTGCTCCTGCTCGAGTTGCCCCAGCACCTGCTCCTGCTCCTGCTCGTGCTGCTCCAGCTCCTGCTCCTGCAAGGGCTGCCTCATCTGGAGCTTCTGCCTCTAAGCTCGCTCTTACCCGCACTGTTTCTGTCAAAACTCCAGAACGACAATCCAGTGTCATCTCTCACTTCACACCTGCAGACCACCGCTATGAAGCCACTGGATCCGTTGTCATCAATCAGTCATCTGGATCATCAAGAAAGACTTCCTCTGCTGCTCGAGTGCAGAAGGTATCAGTACCTGTGCCGGCTCCAGCTCCAGTTCGGGCTGCTCCTGCTCCTGCCCCTGCCCCAGCACGTGTTGCCCCTGTAACAAGTTCAGGATCTAAGCTTGCTCTTAGCCGCACTGTATCAGTTAAAACTCCTGAAAGAAAATCAAGTGTCATCTCTCACTTCACACCTGCTGATCACCGTTATGAAGCCACTGGATCTGTTGTCATCAATCAGTCATCTGGATCATCACAAGCTGCTCGTGTCCAGAAGGTAGCAGCACCTGCTCCTGCTCGAGTTGCCCCAGCACCTGCTCCTGCTCGTGCTGCTCCAGCTCCTGCTCCTGCAAGGTCTGTCTCATCTGGAGCTTCTGCCTCTAAGCTCGCTCTTACTCGCACTGTTTCTGTCAAAACTCCAGAACGACAATCCAGTGTCATCTCTCACTTCACACCTGCAGATCACCGCTATGAAGCCACTGGATCTGTTGTCATCAATCAGTCATCTGGATCATCAAGAAAGACTTCCTCTGCTGCTCGAGTGCAGAAGGTATCAGTACCTGTGCCGGCTCCAGCTCCAGTTCGGGCTGCTCCCGCTCCTGCCCCTGCCCCAGCACGTGTTGCCCCTGTAACAAGTTCAGGATCTAAGCTTGCTCTTAGCCGCACTGTGTCTGTTAAGACTCCTGAGAGAAAATCAAGTGTCATCTCTCACTTCACACCTGCTGACCACCGCTATGAAGCCACTGGATCCGTTGTCATCAATCAATCATCTGGATCATCACAAGCTGCTCGTGTCCAGAAGGTAGCAGCACCCGCTCCTGCTCCAGTTGCCCCAGCACCTGCTCCTGCTCGTGCTGCTCCAGCTCCTGCTCCTGCAAGGGCTGCCTCATCTGGAGCTTCTGCCTCAAAGCTCGCTCTTACCCGCACTGTTTCTGTCAAAACTCCAGAACGACAATCCAGTGTCATCTCTCACTTCACACCTGCAGACCACCGCTATGAAGCCACTGGATCCGTTGTCATCAATCAGTCTTCTGGATCATCAAGAAAGACTTCCTCTGCTGCTCGTGTCCAGAAGGTAGCAGCACCCGCTCCTGCTCCAGTTGCTCCAGCACCTGCTCCTGCTGCTCCTGCTCCCGCTCCTGCAAGGGCTGTCTCATCTGGAGCTTCGGCCTCTAAGCTCGCTCTTACTCGCACCGTCTCTGTTAAGACTCCAGAACGACAATCCAGTGTCATCTCTCATTTCTTACCTGCAGACCACCGCTATGAAGCCACTGGATCTGTTGTCATCAATCAGTCATCTGGATCATCAAGAAAGACTTCCTCTGCTGCTCGTGTCCAGAAGGTAGCTGCACCTGCCCCTGCTCGAGTTGCCCCAGCACCTGCTCCTGCTCGTGCTGCTCCAGCTCCTGCTCCTGCAAGGGCTGTCTCATCTGGAGCTTCTGCCTCTAAGCTCTCTCTCACTCGCACTGTATCTGTCAAAACACCTGAGAGAAAATCTGGTGTTATTTCTCATTTCACACCTGCAGACCACCGTTATGAAGCCACTGGATCAGTTGTCATTAACCAGGCTTCTGGTTCCTCACAGACAGTAAAGACTTCCTCTGCCTCAGCTGCTCGTGCTCAACAGGAAGCAGCAGCTGCTCGTGCTCAGCAGGAAGCAGCAGCTGCTCGTGCTCAGCAGGAAGCAGCAGCTGCTCAGCAGCAGCAGCTGCGTGCTCAGCAGGCAGCAGCTGCTCGTGCTCAGCAGGAAGCAGCAGCTGCTCGTGCTCAGCAGGAAGCAGCAGCTGCTCGTGCTCAACAGGCAGCAGCAGCTGCTCGTGCTCAACAGGCAGCAGCAGCAGCTTCACTGTCTCGCACTGTCTCTGTCAAGACACCTGAAAGAGAATCTAGTGTCATCTCTCATTTCACGCCTGAAGATCATCGTTATGAAGCCACAGGTTCAGTTGTCATTAACCAGGGTTCTGTAGGATCCTCACGAAAAACCTCAGGTGCCTCATTTAGCAGTCAAGGTGCATCGTCAGGGAGCTCTAGTGCTTCTGGGCAATCATCATCTCGTGGTACACAGTCTTCAAGTTCTAGGAAGCAGGCATCCTCCGGGACTTCAAGTGGATCGGTATCCTCTTCCAGTGGCAGTAGACTAGCATCCTCTTCTAGTGGAAGTGGACTGGCATCCTCTTCTAGTGGTAGTGGATTTTCGTCTTCAGCTAGTGCCAGTGGGTTTGCTTCCCAGTCCTCTTCCAGATTTGCTTCATCCTCAGCTTCATCCTCTTCAGCTGCCTCATCCTCTGGTTCGTCCTCAGCAGGATCTCGCTCATACTCATACCGACTTGCAGAGCCCTTTCGAGGTGGAAGCTCCTTCTCATCGGCTGACTTGATGGAAGAAATGTTGGCTTTCCGGGCTGAAGCAGCCAAGTCTGGTGTGGCTTACCCTGAGTTTAGAGATACCGGCGATGGCAGCGTACGTATCTTTTTCAATTATTAGAGTACTAAAACTGGCTTGGTTTGGGTTTCATAGAGAATGTGACAGTACAGAACAATGCCCACTAACATTGTACTTATCCAGGTATCACAAAGATTATTAATCATGTCAGTTTTATCATACTTATTTTACCCCTCATTTGATCATAATTGTTGTAACAAGGAAACCGTCAAATTTATAGACTAGACGAAGTAAGAGTGGGACATCAGAATTAACCTAAACTTGTATATTTGTACATTTATAAATAAAACCATACACAGATATCTATTGAAGATACATGGTAATGGGTCTAATCAATACAGTGATAAAAACCGCTTAACTGGATTACTTTTGAGGGTTTCAGAGTATGGACAGCAAATAACTTCCTTTTTGTTGTGTCTAATGACTCCATTGTTTCGAGTAACTTACTGCGGATTTATAAGCGAACCACGTCTAAGCGTCACCACAGTGATCGAACTCTCTAATATTACTTTCCTTTGTCAACGTCGATAGCTGCTATAATCTGCCTGTGTCCCCAGGGCTCTGACCCCTACGCCTTCAACGTCCGAGTGGAAGACCACGAGAATACGAATTACCAGAGTCGAGATGAATGGGTTGGGGAAGACGGCATAACCCGCGGCTGGTATACCGTGCTGATGCCCGATGCCTTCTTCTATAACTACTCCTACATTGCCCACCCCATTAAAGGTTACCAGGTACACCTCAAGGAGAGCAGCTGTCTCCATCCATTCATGTCTTTCTCTGTGCATCTTTCATCATAGTCTTATCTACTTAGTTAATACAAATCATTGTAAACAGTAAATTGTGCATACTGCTATCTTCAAAGGCATGTCAGCAAAGTGACCGGAGGGACTACAAATATGTGATTAAACACTTCCTGTGTATTATTGCGTACTGTAGTATTAGAAAAATATTACACGGCAATGAATGATATCTATATATCTTGGGGGGCGGGGATGATACGAATGATAAGCATATTTAGAGTTGGAATTTAATCAAAAGTTAAAGAGAAACAAAAAAATATACGAAAACATCTGCTTTATCTTTCTTTGTGTTTTTAGGATGAACTTTAGTTTGTGTTTAGGGTATTCATGTATT